GGCAGGGGGTTGGACTGGATGGCCCATGAGGTTTCTTCCAACTCTTTGATTCTATGATTCTATGATTCTAATTGGAGTGATTTCATTGTGTCTTCCTACATAGCAGGATGGGGTTGGGCTGGGTGGCCCTTGGGGTCTCTTTCAACTCCATGATTCTATGATTTCAGGCACTGAGCTTTCCCCATCTGTTGTTGGGACATCTCTAGTTTTGACTGAAATGGGTGTGCTTGGAATAACAACCTGATCACCTCCCATTCTCAGCTTGATGGCACCAGGTTTTGACACATGATTGCTGAGTCAAGCAGCAATATATAGAGGTGGTACTATTAATCATTGCTTAATCTCTGGTAGGTGTTCCAGCAGAGCTGCTGCTACTACTTCGCTAAGTGTCTTGGAAGGTGTCACTTTTCTCTATTCCAGTGCCTGGTGTCCTGGTATTTCAGAACTCAAGACATGGACAAAAGAGCTGCTGCCACCCTGTTCTTCACATTGTCTTTTTTTCAAATAGGTAAGGATTGATTTGGGCAAGGGTGTGTCTTTGGCTAGCTGAACTTTCTGTTGTTCTGAAACATCTGCTAATATTTGTGAACAGCATGCTCCAGCATTCTGTGGAGTGAAATCCTATATGCCAGGGATGGAAATTGATGCAGCCCTCCAGATGTTGTTGAACTGCAATTCCCAGCATTCCCACCATTGGTGGTGCTGGAACTTAGAGTCCAACAATACTAGGTAGGCTGCATCCTTCACCAGAGGCACTCCAAGTGACCAGCTACTGGTCAAAGGATATTTAATTAATGCCAAGTTTTCAAACTTTGTTGTTGTTGTTTTGTTGTTGTTTGGTTTTTAAATACATTATAACTGTACCCCTTGGTTTGCCCCTGATAGATAAATAAAATAAGATAAACCCTTAACTGCCTTGCTGTAGATACTCAGTAATTGGGGTAAGATCCATGGAACATGCTGAGGCATACATATGAGTAGACACGCACTCATGTCTTACTTACTAAGGCAGTCCCTCATAGCCCTAGGATGATGATCATCCAAGGATGATGGTCCTCTTCACAGTGGGTCCATAGGTGGCTGTGAAGATTATTCTTGATCCACAAGTTCTCCCGCAGTGAGAAGATCAGTTTCCAGGTGGAAGTCCATCCGATATGATCCCCAGTCACTCATGTCTACTCGGGGGTGCTTTGAAAGCAATTTTCCTGCTTCTTGGCAGTTGGTTGGACTGGGTGGCCCATGAAGTCTCTTCCAACTCATTGATTCTATGATTCTACAAGATTGCGATATCATTTAACATGCATACTACTTACAATCAAAAGGGGAATGAGGGAGAGAGGCCACGTCTACGTAGGTGGGTAAATCTGTGGTTAGTCTGGCACACCCTCCTAAACCCACTATACTGGTAGATCAGAATCCAAATAGTCAAAAGTGCCAAGAGTCACTTCACCATCCATGTTATCATTGCCTTTCCCAGCTATATACAGAGCTCTGTGTGAGCTTATAGCTGTCCTGCACAAAGATGCCTGCACAACCAGGAAGGAGGGAGCCAATCTCCTAACTTTCCTGCTACTCATGCATATGCTTCTGCTGATGTCACCACAGGGCACCTGCCATAGCCAAGGGCTCACATGGAGCCCTGTAGCCACCTGGAAGTAGGGACATGGGCACAATCCATCACTTTTCCCTGTGCTGACAATCTCAGGGCCACCTTGATTGTGGAAGTGCCCCATGGGGACCTAATCCAGCTGTCCACACAGCCATGAGCACTCTCTGGAGTTTCAAACAAGTTCAAGAGCATCACCCAACTTTTAGTAATGCAGGTCTGAAACAGAGCAACACAGTTCAGCCCATAATACTTAACAGAAATGGAGAAACATTGAGGGTATATGCAGGAGCCTAGTCAGGGAGAGTCTGCATTTTATACCCATGTAGATGAGTTCAGAGGGAGAGAAATTACACAAGGTATCTCTGCAAGGCTAGCATTCTGTAAGTGACATAAGTTAACCTTATACTTGCATATATCCATTTTTGATAGCTGAAGAATTGGACTTCCACCCTCTGTAGCAACCAAAGGCTTTCCCGGACCTACTCTCAAACCACTAAAGCTTATTCTGTACCAGTGGTGACAGTAGAAATTGCAGGAATATTTGGTTGTTTCTTGTAATCAGATGTCATTTTTTCGTGTCAGGAGTGACTTGAGAAATTGCAAGTTGCTTCTGGTGTGAGAGAATTGGTTGTCTGCAAGGACATTGCCCAGAGGACGCCTGGATGTTTTGATGTTTTACCATCCATGTGGGAGGCTTCTCTTATGGTTTCGCATGGGGAGTTGGAACTGACAGAGGGAGCTCATCCATGCTCTCCCCGGATTCAAACCTCTGACCTGTCGGTCTTCGTTCTTGCTGACACAAGGGTTTAACCTATTGCATCACCAGAGGCTCCAGATGTCAAATGATTACAGTAGATGATGGGATTGCTTTACATCTGACTATAGCAGTGGTTCTCAGTCTGGGGTCCCCAGGTGTTTTTGGCCTACAACTCCCAGAAATCCCAGCCAATTTAGCAGCTGTTAGGATTTCTGAGAGTTGAAGGCCAAAAACATCAGGTTGAGAACCACTGGACTATAGGGACATAACACTATCCTTCTGTGCTCCATCAACTGGGTGAGGGCTTCAGCAGCTCTAAAGTAGGTTAGAGGTGGTAAATCTTTAACAAAGTAGTAGTTCCACATGCTGGACATTTACACTGTAGAATTAATGCAATTTGACACCAGATTAACTGCCATGACTCCTTGCTTTGCGATCTTGGGAAATGGTTTTTTTTTTTTCACGTCAGGAGCAACTTGAGAACTGCAAGTTACTTCTGGTGTGAGAGAATTGGCCATCTGCAAGGACATTGCCTGGATGTTTGATATTTTATCATCTTGTGGGAGGCTTCTATCATGTCCCTGCATGGGAAGCTAGAGCTGAGACAGGAGCTCAACCTGCTCTCCGGATTTGAACTGCCAACCTGTTGGTCAGCAGTCCTGCTGGTGCAAGGGTTTAACCCATTGCACCACTGGGGGCAATTCTTGGGAATTGTAGTTTGATGAGACACCAGCCCTCTCACAGAGAAAGTTACATTACTTGTTCAACTCCAAGTCCCACAAGGCCATTGTATGAGCCACAGCAGTTAACATGTCAACAAGCATTAATTCTACTTTGCAGATCCACTCCAAGTGTGAATTTTAAAGGAACTCTCCAAGGTGCTGAAACCTCTCTGCCAAATATTTGAGCCCTTGGCTAGTTGTTTTAAAGATTAAAACCCAATCTCTGGCATTATAAGAATCAGCTGCCGCCACTGCTATTACCATTATACTTGATACTCATCTTGTTGGTGGAACCGGGCTCTGTTCTAATGCCCTGATATTAAAATGACAGGAAATGAGATTCTACCTAAATGTTAAGAAACTCCTGATGGTAAGAGCTGTTCAACAGAGGAAATGGGCTGCCTCAAGGGGTGGTGGAGATTCCTTTTCTGGAGACTGGATGTCCACCTGTCAGGAGTGTTTTGATTGTGCATTCGTGGCAAGATGGGATTGAACTGAATGGTTCTTGGGGTCTCTTCCAATTCTATGACATCCACTCCATCAGTAAGATCTCCTAATAGGATTCCATGGGCTCATTCTGGGAATATTTCTCATTGCATCCTTCAGCTTCATGCCAGCAAGCAGTAATGAATGGCCTCCAGTGTTACAAATGTAAGTTCGACCAGCCCTGCTCGGATCCATCATCTGTGGTGAGCTGTCAAGAAGGAGAAGTTTGTGGCTTCATAAAGGGAAACTCAGGTTTGTTTTGATTGACTGACTCTCCTTCCTCGCCCCCCCCCCCCCGATATTCCAGTCCCTACTCTGAAGACTCTTTACCTTTCTATTAACAGGGAAACATCTCTAGCCCTTTTCAATTATTAGGTAAACCCAGGGCCCTTCCAGACAGACCCAATATTCCAGTATCTGATTAAAGGTTTTCTGCTTTAAACTGGATTATATGAGTCCACACTGCCAGATAATTTTGGATAAACAGAAAACTTAGGATCAGACCCTGGGTTATAGAGCCTATCTGGAAGGGCCCCCAGAGCTGGAAAAGAAGTAAGCGCCCTTCCAAAAATCTGTATAAAATCCACATTGAACTGGATTATATAGCAGTGTGGACTCAGATAATCCAGTTCAAAGCAGATATTGTGGATTATCTGCCTCAATATTCTGGGTTATTTGGTTGTGTAGAAGGGCCGAAAGGTCATAGCCATATAACCCAGAATATCAAGGCAGAAAATCCCATAATGCTTTGAATTGGGTTATCAGAGTCCACTCTCAGATAATGTGGGATTTTCTGCTTTGATATTCTGGGAAATAGGGCTGTGTGGAAGGGCCCTAGAAAACATAACTAGTTTTCTGGGAATTATTAATGCATCCACTTAAGGAGGAATGGCAAGTTGATTTTGTTAGGACCCTTCCACACAGCCCTATAACCCAGAATATCAAGATAGAATATCCCACAATATATACTTTGAACTGGGCTGACTCTACACTGCCATATATTCCAGTTCAGAACAGATAATGTGGAATTTTCTTCAGCTGTGTAGAAGGGGCCTTAGGGGCTTTCCACACAGCCCTGTATCCCAGAATCTCAGCACAGAAAATCCCACATTATCTGAGTGTGGACTCTGATAACCCAGTTCAATGAAGATATTGGGGAATTTTCTGCCTTGATATTCTGGGATATAGGACTATGTGGAAGGGCCTCTAAACAGTGCTCACTTACACAACTTGGAAATAACTACTATGATGTAACTATTGATTTGTTTTACCCTTCTCCCTGAATGAGGCCTAAGGCACTTTCTAACAACAATGTATTGAAAACATCTACCATACAATTTATTTATTTATTTTAAAAAATAATTTCATACTACATCTTGAAATCAATTTAAAACATTTTAAAATTTAAAAGAATAAATAAAACCTGCCCAGTAAAACATCCTCCTAATTAACAAAGCTTAACAAATAAGTTGCTATTAATTATAGGGTTTGGCCTGACAAGAGAGGGAGTGGAGAGGGGAGGAGCAGGAAGACTGAAGCGGTTTATTAAAAACTGGAGGTGACAGGCACTTAACATGGCTCGCTTGTCCTATGTGTAGAAAATAATACTCTAGTATTGATCTCATCACTGATGTTGGTTCTAAGACCCCATCTGCACTGACCATTAAATGTAGTTTCAAACCATCATTGAAATAAGTGGGTTTGAAATGCAGACATCTGCATAGGATGTTCCATGTGTTGTCGAAGGCTTTCATGGCTAGAATCACTGGGTTGCTGTGAGTTTTCCAGGCTGTATGGTCATGTTCCAGAAGCATTCTCTCCTGACATTTCATCCACATCTTTGGCAGGCATCCTCGGAGGTTGTGAAGTTACCTCACAACCTCCGAGGATGCCTGCTAAAGATGTGGGTGAAATGTCAGGAGGGAATGCTTCTGGAACATGGCTATACAGCCTGGAAAACTCACAGCAACCCAATTGCATAGGAAATCTTATAACCAGTTTGAAGTCTGGATAGTGATTACACAAACCCCAAAGCACTGTTATACACTAAGGGTTTTGTTTCACACACTTTTGGAGAGTCTGTTGTTGTCTGACCATCATAATTTGAAGCTAGTTTCGAACTCCATCAAATGGTCAGTGTAGATAGGCCTCAATGAGAGTTTCTAGAACCAGTGATGCTGTGCGACTTCTGATCATATTGGGGTACATAGGAGGCAATAGCCCCATCAGCTCTCTAGTTGCCTGTACCCAATTGGGCTCTTCCACTATAATATTCAGCTTCTTTACTCCCCTTCCCTCCCATACCACACTAAAGTTCTGGATATGGACCTGCATTGTTCTATGCACACATCTCCATCATGTATGTCTTGAATCCTATGCTAGAAGAAAAGTGGGATAAAAATGTATTAAATAGAAAGTGTGTGTGTGTATGAGAGAGAGAGAGAGAGATGTTTCATATGCACACCTACCTAGCTTTGTGTTCACTCCATCCTAACTTCCTGTGCCCTTGTGGTTTGCAGAATACAAAGTTCACGAGCCTATCTTTGGAACAGGCTGCATCGAAGCCACAAAATGCAGCAGTGACGAGAAGATTATTCATTCCAGCAACCCATTCCGGGTCAGCTACTCCTGCTGCAACACCAATTACTGCAACAACGGCAACTCTAGATTTAACCCTTCCAGAACTCACCTCACTTTGCTCTTTGTGGCCACTCTCTCCACCATCCTATTAACCTTCCTGATTGCCTAGTTTTCCTGTTTTGTGAGAAATATGTCCCCTCCCAAACCCTGTCAGTGACTGGATCCTCAAACACAAACCCAGCAGTTGGGAGCTCCATGGCAGGAGCAGGTAGAAAATAGATCAGGACAGCTTTGGAGTAACAGTTGGGAGTAACATTCATAGCCTTTCTGTGGGCTTTCTTATCAGGGCAATAGGTTGGCTACTGTGTGAAACAGAAAAATGGGTAATCAGTTAGGCCTTCATTCTGACACAGCATGGCACTTCTTAAGCTACTATTGTCATAACCTTGCTCGACCTTGAGTATCCACAACTACCCCCCAGTCAATGGGACCAAAGGTAAGGGATAGTAGGAACTGTGATCTACCAATACCCAAGGACCCTAGTTGGACAAAATTTCCTGTTTCCTGTGTGCAACATGAAACCACTTATTACTGTGTCATGATTGCAAGGATTCATGATCAGAGCATCTAGCTGTGGAGATGTCAAAGGAATACAACCTCCACAATGTTTGACTATGTGACTGATGAGGCTGGAAGTCACCCACACCTAGAAAGCCACAGGATCCACACCACTGATGTTAACCAAGTGTTCTTCAATGTGCTTTAAACATGTTCAGTATTGTTATTGTTGTTATGTACACACCTTGGTAATCCTTGCAAGAACTTGCTGAAGTTTAGCTCTAGTTGATGACTCAGTTCATGAAATTTCATTGTGGGTGATGTTTGCACACAGCTTACATTTATGCTAGTGAAGGGTGACTGGGTAAAATTGTTCCAGCATGGCTTTTTCCATTTGATTGCTGTGGTGCAGCAGTGGTGGTGTAGTAGTTTGACCACTGGTTTGGCTGGGAGTTTGGAAATCCAGGTTCAACTTTCAAGCTGATCTTAAGCCAGTCACCATCTCTCTGAGTAGCCTATCTTCCAATGTTTTACAAGAAGTGAGAAACTATATACAATAACTTGCAAGAAAGCCAGGATATAAATGTACGAGGGTTATCCAGAAAGTAAGGTTGCAAGATATTTTTAAATACAAAGAATTAACATATTTTAATAAAACTTACATGAATTATAGCATGGGTATTACATTATTTTTCCACCATTCAGTTCAATACGTTTTGTCATCTGTGGGATGAGTTTTCGATGCCTGTGTCATAGAAGTTTCCCTCCGGCTTTTTTTAGCCAGTTTGTCACTTCAATTTTCAGCTTGCTGTCATCAGAAAAGTGTTTTCCACCGAAGTATTCCTTCAATTTAGTGAACAGATGATAGTCACTGAGTATGAAACTGGGGCTGTGAGAGGGGTGGCTGAAAACATCCCAACCAAATGAAGTCAACAACTCTTGTGTTGAATGAGCGGTGTGTGGGCGTGCATTGTCATGAAGGAGACAGACTCCCGCCGTCAGCATCCTACAACACTTGTTTTGGATGGCTCTGCAAAGTTTCTTCAGGTCTCACAATATATTCCGTATCCATTTTGTCACATGTTGTCTTGACATTATGTCCTCTCCATAAACTGAAATGATTTCACGATGAATTGCAGCAGCGTTCATGCCCTTAGCATTTAGGTAGGGTATTACAGTGCGAACTTTGCACTTGGAGGGAAACGGAATGAGGATGCCCATCTCTAACCTTCACCACAATACCAGTTGATGAGCTACTGACAACTGGCTGTGCTCATTCTCTTCCACTGGCTTCTTGCTACACAGCAGTGATACCAACTTCCCACAAGGAAATTCCCCATGAGAGCTACGTGCCTTGTAACCTTACTTTCTGGATTACCCTTGTATAATAAATGAATAATACACTTTAGACAAGTTGCACACCCTCAGTTTTAAGGAACACAACTGTAAATTTCTGAACAAATCTTGTCAAGAAAGCCGCCCAACAGTGTTGCCTTTGGATCACCACAGCTGGAAATGACTTGAAGGCACACAACAAAGACAAGATACAGATGTGTGTGTGTTTTTCATTAGATCCAACAGAACTTTTCTTTATACCAGAAGTGGAGATTATGTTGTCCCCAGATACGGGCTGCCATCCAGTTTAGTATTTGTGAGATATAAGCTGGATTTAAAGTCTTGTTACTTTCTGGATTTGCATGTATGGTTATTAATGGCTAAGCATGACTCCACAAAAATCTACTTCTTAAGCAGGCAGTACTCCAATCAAAGAGGTTTTTT